GTTTTTGTGGACTTTTGTGGACCTTTCTGTCTCGGGCGCCATAGACCTCCATTATTTGAATGTCAGCAGACAGCAAGAAGCCTCCCAGATCTCCAGATGCATTTGAGATATCAAAAAAGTACTCCAGAGTTTTGTTCAGCATGGGGGTGAGTAGAAAATGAAGGCTAATCATGTTTTGGGTGTACTATTCCTTTAACAGTTATATAAAAAAGCATTATTGAACATTTCAAGTATTAGTCATCATTACTTCTGCTGTGTCACGTCTCCAGGTTGATTTGATGTTCTCTAAATGGTTTATACAGAAATCAGATGTTTGTGACATTTAATTAGTAATTTGATTGATAATACCAAAAAAAAATGGATTTCATCCATAAAATGGGAATTTAATTTAAAATATGCAATGTAAATACAGCTTAAGAGACAATGCCTGTATGCCACGGATAGTTAAAAAGGCTGAGGTTGATGTTCGATTCCCACCTTTGCAGTTGGCACTAGAGGTTTTTTTTTATGGTTTGTGAAGATTCTGGTTGAATCAACCGTAGCTTAAAATCTTAAATACTTACATAGTGGTCTGTATAGAAAATAATACAAAACTATTATAGAATGATCAACACTTTTATTAGTTCTTATCTTTATAACCAGCTTTACTATGGAAGGTTTAATTTGTTTATCAAAATTGTTTTCAATGTGTGAGAGGTTACAGAAGGAGGGACTAGCTCATGTCACCATTTATGAAAGAACCAAGACTCATACTACACAGCCATGTGTTAACAGTGGAATATCTAGAAATTAGGTTTTGTTACTTTCCCTAAGCTTTTCTCAAGAGGAATCTATAGTATGTTTTTTTTTTTTTTTTTTTTTTTTTTTTAAATAAGTAGACGTTAAAGTTTTACATATTTGCTATCTTAATCTGAAACCATCAATCACAAGTGAGACCGAGCAAACCTCTGCACACTTCAGGGAAACTCAAACAGCACCACCTCATGGCCTTGATATTGAGAAAGTTTGCCACCAGGCAGACTTAAGTCTTGCCATTACCTAAACCTACAACAAGACAGACCAAAAGGTTCATACTCTATCACCGAGGACTTATCCAGAGACACCTGGCTGACAGAATCCTGGTAACAGATATACTTTAGGAAATGGTTGGGCTCTCACACATCCCACAGTGCATTAGGGATCTTGAAGGTTGTTTTAAAAGGGAAAGACCTGCTATGCTATCTGTGGAACTTGGTAAACAAACTCATCTCTAAAGAAGTGTGGTTTGTTGGAAAGGGTGGCATGAGTGTAAGGAACTTGAACAGACTACCCCCTATGAGGCATAGTTTCAGAAGATGGTCACTGACTTAGGAAGAGAAACAAGGGATGGTAGCATGAAACAAAGAGTTGGTCATCTGTTAATGGACATCTTTGCAGAAAAAAAAGCAAATAGAGAAAGAAAGAGATAGTGAAATATTGAACCACATAAGTTTGGTATAACTTATGAGTAAGAGCTATGCTGATGAGGGTTTTTGGTCTCTGCATTTCTAATTATGAAAGGGACTGTAACAGCCTTGGTGACCGCAACTATGATATCCCAAATTTAGAACATCATTACAATTAATGTCATCATGCCTAATGACATATGGGAGGTGTGTCCAAAGGACACCTCTTGTGGCAGAAAAAGAAGATAATCAGACATTATGTAAGTTTTTTAATATCTTTAAAATACCATTTTTAATTGACCTTTTACGAGTAAAAAATAACTTGATGAGCAGACTGACATCTTAGTAGTTCAGCATCAATGCCTCTATAACTCTGTGGCCTGTTATCCTGAATTTGAGTTGGATGTTCCTTTGCTGTTTGGCAGTTGTGACATCAAGCTCATCCATGTTGAATGGGTTCGATCTAGCAAACAATCAAAGATGTATTTTGTGGATAATCAGAAGCAACCAGCATTTAGCTCAACTCAGACACTAATGGCAATACCTGGTTGATGAAAAAAGATAAGAAAATAACTATCAGAACGAGTAGAAGAGTGTTGCAGTTCAGTGATTTGGCCACAGGTGGCAGTATCATTCAAAAACTCTGTAATGCCTCTTTAAGAATGTAAAAGATTGCAGGTAAAAGCCTTCAATTGTATCAAGGATACTTATTATCTACAAAGTGTAAGATGGCAAAAAGTAAAAAAAAAAAAAAAAAAAAAACTTAAATGCAGGTCATTTGGGACAGCTTCAGTGTAAAACCATTATGCCCATGCCCTGAAAATAATATGGAAAAACTAAGATTGTCAATGAAATGGATTAAGAGGATTTCACTGTAGTTCTGATCAGCAACAAAGTTGAAGTCCTTCCCTTAAAATACAGAGGTAAATGAAACTTGTGCTTCAAGAGAACTTTAACAAATTAACATAAAAAATATTAACACAAAAAATCTTGTTGAGTTGTTTTTTTATGTCAACTTCAATGAAAAATGTAGCCATAACTTCATAACTTATTACACAGTCTTCTGAAAAGCTATGAACGCCATTACAGATTTCTCTAATTTTGTCCCTTTGCGCTGAAACCAAATTATTTGTTTTAGATCATCTAACTATATCAGATCCGGCATTATTCTGGCCCGAATATGATAATTAATGTGTTTGTCCATATAAGGTGGAGGTCTTCAACAGGGGGTCCGTGACCCCTAGGGGGGGTCCGCGGAAGTACTGCATGGGGGTCGCGAAAGTTTTGGTTAATTCAATTTTTTTTGTTTGTTTGTTTAATCCCCCCTGCAATTTTTGCAACTAATTGAAATGTCTTTAAATCCACATTTACATGAATTCAACACTCTGTAGTAAACAGATAAACGGAGGCAGAAGATTTCTTTCAGTCATCAATGCACACATTTAGTGACACACCGGAGCTCTTTCATACTGGGCACCGTTTCATTCACAAAACCTGTCCCATCAATGAGGAATCAGAATCAGAAATACTTTAATAATCCCTGGGTGAAATTACTTTTGTTACATGACTCCATCTGTGGTAGAGTGACTGTAGGACCAGTTTGATATAACACAATTTCATACAATATATATAATTAGGGGGTCGCCGCTCCATCTCGCATTCAGTTTGGGGGGTCCTTGGCCTGAAAAATGTTGAAGATCCATGATATAAGGCATAACTTAAGGTGGTAATGTTTTGTTAAAGTTAATATGGTGATCTGATTACTTTATTTATGAGCAAAAGAAAAAAATAAATAAAAAACTGAAGGTTATATTCAAGGGGGTAAATATCTTATAGAATCTATCTATCTATCTATCTATCTATCTATCTATCTATCTATCTATCTATCTATCCATCCATCCATCCATCCATCCATCCATCCATCCATCCATCCATCCATCCATCCATCCATCCATCCATCCATCCATCCATCCATCCATCCATCCATCCATCCATCCATCCATGATGTAAAAGAGAGGATTAAAGGATGTAATTACAAAAAACATGGCAGTATGTATGGCTCATTTTTTAAAATAACAACTTAACAACTGACAAACATAATTTATCACATAAGTTAATAATAGTTTTTTTTTTTTTTGAAAAAAAAAAAACATGTGGCATTCATTTATTTCATTGTATATTTAATACTTCAGTTGTCCATCTATTCCTCAGTGTTTAAAATTACAAATCATTATTAAATTACAAACGTCCAATACAGAGGTTTATTTCACGCAGAGGGGGAAAAAAAGCAAAATTAAAACACATTTGTACTTTATTGTAACATATGTTACAAGAAATACAAAAAAAAAAAAAAACTGGCTCAGAGAAATTGCAACTTGTAACCTGATCGATTGGCGAGTCGAGCCGAGAGGCAGCCTGTCCATACTGTGAGATCCGTTTCTCAGTGTCAGACCAACAACCCAGAATAGCAACGCGTGCGGCCACCGAGCGAGGAGATGGAGGAGGAAGTGGTGGATTTAACAACTGTTGATTTTGCTGCTTCTGCTGCTGTTGCTGCTGCGGAACCAACTACCTCTCAGTCCTGGCTGCATGGTGAATATCGGACAACCATAAATTGTATTCTAGATAGTAATTGTAGATCAGAGTGCATATGTATATATTATTTATATATCTATGTAACTCACTGTTTTACGTCAATTAATAAAACAAAGCCTGGTAATTAAGTGCGTCTATCGGGGTATCAGCTCGATTGTCCATTCAGTGTATCTTAGCGGCTGGGTTATTGGCCGCAGATGCTTGAACTGCTGGCGGCGCATGTCTGCAGCAAAAACACAGACAAGGAGCGTCTGTGTGATGAATGGAAAACCAGACTGGCTCTGCTGTAAGACAGCGGTGATCGGATAACCTGTTGAACTACAGCTGTCAGTCAACCCCCCCTCCCCCCAAGTCATGCAGGAATCACAAGCAAAAAAAGAAAAAAAAAAACATCTAACAGGGGAAACGCATATTATCTAAATGAAAAGTGGCCTAATACACTGTCTGGTAGCTGATGAGCGTGTCTGCAGGTAAATCAACTCTGTCCTTAGTATTTTTTATGTTAACCTACTTTCAAGCTTATGCTTCATATCTATTTTTTATTGGATAGACTTCTAATATAATTCAAAACTAACTATAAAATGATGTCAAAAGAGATAAAGGCTTGGAAATGGAAACGTATTGTCTAGTGTGATGGAGAAGTCAGTTGTTTGTTACTTTCATGTTTCAAAAAGTGATGTTCATGAGTTCTATTCTTCACATTATATCCCCACTCTCTTCAGCAGCAATTAAAATGCCTGCGACTCTACCGGTTCGACCTTGAGTCACATCTCCACAGCAGCTTTTCAGCATTGCCTGCCCACGGATTTCCAGTGTCTCGGTTGTTGAAAATAGCCCGGCTGCTCCCTGTCGCTATGGCTAATTCCTTAGGAACCGGTGGATCCAGTTTGATCCATCCCTCTCTCTTTCGCTCCCTTAACCAACTTGTTGAGTCTTTCCCTTCTCTTTGTTCCTGCTGCAAACGTTCGCTATGTAACCGTTCGCTCATAAGCCGCGTCACTTTTTTTTTTTTTTGAAAAAAAAAACAAAAACGATCTGCTGAAGTTGGGAGTTTAGTTGACTGTAGGACGGCGTCGGTGTCGCTTTTAAAGTGGAAAAGTCGACAGGGAGGAGGGGGCGCGCACTTTAGAGGCTCTCACACAGCGACAGTCACCTGTAGGAGACTGCAGATGCGCACCTCGACTCCTTAAATTTGCGCTGCCTTTTTGAACTTGAGCTGTAGAACATAATTTCCTTCTCTTTTTTTCCCACTGGATTGTTACATGTTTATCTGGAGAAAAAGTTTGAAATCTCACTGGATAAATTAGGTAAAGTTGAATTTTAATATATATTTTTTAAATTATTTGTATTGCTTTGTAAGGAGGTGGAGACAACTAACCAGCACCCCTCCCTCCATCCTTCACTGAATTAGTGACAAATTGTTGCACAGTGCAGCGACTTGTTTGATTGTAACTCGTGTGAACCCAACTTTCTTCATATATATATATATATATATATATGTATTTATATACATACATGTATATAAAGTTGTATATATAAATATATATATGTGTGTGTGTGTGTATTTCTTTCTTCAGCAATAAACTTTCAATTTTCCTGCCAAATAAGCGTTTCATGTACAGCACTACAGCGAATCTGAAACTATTGTTTGCCAAATTGGTGCTTTCACTATACAGCTTCGCTCTTTTTGTGAAACTCGTTCAAACTATAAGGAAAATGACAAAAGCCTGAAGCCTGTCTGCGCTAACCATGTGACTGTAATTAGAAGAGTGAGAAAATGTGTAAGATCTGAATCATTTTCTTCTTATTAATAAAGGGTTAAGTTTTTATGCTTTTCAAAGAAGCCAATAGCAATGCTGTGATGGTATAGCATTTGGCTATGGAGGCCAAAAAAAATAAATAAATAAAAATCTTTCAAAGAAAAATTTCTGAAAAAGTAATAATGCTTATATGAGACAATTCTGATCAATACGTTCACTTTTATATTTTATTAAAGCTAAAAGATAAAGACATTGTTTTACCAATATAAAATGTAATAATTTATTATTAATAAACTATAGCAGTTTATCGTAACTGTAATGACAGATTTATAGATTTGTATACAGTAATAATAACAACTTCTACAACGATATTAAGCCTCAATCTAAAGCTACAAACAAATGCAGTACTTAGTCTTATTTCAAGTAATTTATTTCCTTTTGTCCTGTAATATTAATTCTTCACTACTGGGAAGCAGTAGGACAAAGCGTGTCATTATTTAAGTCAAAGGATTTTATATCTCTCACCCCTTGTTAATGATTTATGCTGATGAAGATGCTTGTTAATGATTACATTCCCCCCCCCCAAAACTCATGTTTTGTGCATTTTTTTCTCTGACTGCTTTGTAATCTGTTATCTACACTTGTAAATTTAAATGTATTCGTTTGCCTCGGATACTTTGTATGTGAATTCATGGAAACTTACAGTACAGGAACCATTGTACGGTCAATGGAGTAATTTAAGTAGCCCACTACCTAGAAAAAGCTGAATTTAAAAAAGAAAGAAACAAAATGAACTAAAACGTCATTTTGCAAGTTTATTGTAGTTCAGATAATGTTATCGTCCACGATTACCTCTGTACAACACAAACAAACCTACTATTGTTTATTCATACACATAAGATCAGAGAAATCGGTACTGCTAAATCCACTACATTGCATCATATCTAAGACTGAATTAGTTGCTGTTTGATTTTCCAGGATGGAATTATAACTTTTTGGGGGAAATTGAATTTGTTTTGCAGGGTGTGTAAGGCTGCAAGTGTAGTGTTGTAAGGCTATATTTGTTGTAAATTAGCGTTAGATAAACAAAAATGAATCAAACTGAAAATCAAATAAAATCTACTTGCATATATATGAATTATGTATGGAATTTATTTTTGTATAAGTAAAGGGTTTTTCATTCTTAAATGGATTTGTGCAAACATAATCGGTTAAAATCAATTACTCCACTATTTCTTTCCTACAGAACCTATCAAGAGATGGAAATGGAAAGTTCCGAAGACTTTTCTGCAAGTAAGTCTTTAAACGTTTTGCACAACATTTCTTTTACAAATGCAAAGATGATATATTGCTTCATCTAAATATTTCTTGGGCGCTGATGCAGATGTTTCTGATGTATTGCTGATTTGAAAATAAGAACAAAGAATATAAGCAATCACAAAACGACAAACATTTTAAGGGATTTTCCCCTAAGTGAAGGCTTTTTCCTGTTTAGCCCTAAAGGTAGAAAAAAATGATGCATTAGCACATCCTGTTGAATGCAGCAGATGCTGGATATGTGCTTTGTGGTACTCCATTGCCCTTTGTTGGTTTCCTTTTGGTAGGTCTCTGAATTTCTCCCAACCCCCCCAGTCCCCCCTCCCTCTCTCCTGCATTTTGTTTTGGTGTGCATTTTTCAAAAACAGTTAGCATCTTGTTGATGACATCAATGGGGACTTTTAGCTTTTAGTTCTCCATTGGGGGTTTGTGCTCATTGGAACACTTGGCAGGCGGGCCGGTGGAGGTGGAAGGAGAATTGGAGCCTCCTCTCTCTTCATCCACCTGCGGGTTGCTTGTAAAACTAGTTGCATGTAACAGTTAGCGTTATGCTGGATAATTTCATACTTTTTTAAAGAGCCGGATGTTTCAGATTCTCATGCACTGATATACGTACACTGATTGTGTTTATAAAACTAACCATGCTAACCCATTTACTTTATGTTACATTATTATGGTTTTCCGTCATACATTACCCACATTCATGCATTGTTTTACATATACATCCAATGTATATCTACATTTTTTTTGTATAGTTATCCAGTATGAATGTATTAATTTAATCATACAGTATGAAGTGTTAAGCTGTCGCTACAGTGCTTTTTTATGTTAACCCCGGAAAAGGATAAACGGAAACAAGACCAAGGGCCTAAAAAGTAAAAAAGATTAACAAAGTGATTTTAATGGAATTCTGTTCTGATGTTACAAAGTTTGTTCATCGACACTGAGCTCAGCTATTATACATAACTATGGATAACCATTAATCACATAATATATTTCAATACATTTCCTCCCTGGAGAAGAGAAAGAAAAACATCTATCAAAATAAAATGTTTGTTTATAAACTCAAGAGAGTTTGAAATAGACCTATCCTGCTGTTTTAATCTTCAGATCTCTACCTTTGCATTAAGCATAAACATGATCTTGGTCACTTGTTTATTATTGACTTATTTTGCCACTTCTCATTGGTTAACAATAGGGATTAAATGTATAGACTTATATTATATCACAAAAGGTTGGATGGTGAAATTCCTTTTGTAAATCTAATGCAGTTTGCTAACTGAAACTGCATACATACTGCATTCTTTCATTGTTGTTAGGATGGAACCATTAGGAAAAACAAAGAAGTTAAAACAGCAAAAATATTTTTGTTGTATTCTTATTTTTTTATTATTTTCCTGTTAATAATAATAGGTGTTATGATAAAAAGCTAAGTTTTAGCCTCCGAATAAATGACCGCCGTTAAGTAAAGTTGGGAGAAACTGTAAAAGAGTTACATTATAGAAATCAAACAGGCACATTCATTATTATTTTTGTAAGTTTGTACCTACTTTATGAATACACTTAGATTTTTAGGTTAACAGGTATCAGCTGTGATGATGATGCTCCAGTATTGTATTTAGGTCATTAAAAAGAGTGATTTTTAGACTTGAACACAAAGTAAGAATCAAACCAATTACCTGAAAATATTAGTTTTTTTTTAACAGAAAGGAAGAACAACAAATCAGTCGTAAATGTACAAAACATGTCTTGTAGCCAAGAGCATGGTCAAGCAATAGGAAGACTTGTAATAACTGTGATATCCAGATCAGGAACGTCATCCTTGATTTCAGTGAAAGTTAGGCTGGTTTGAGGGGTTTTCTTGGTACTGATCCAATTTGCTACCTGAGTATGATATGGTAACTGCAGCCATTCTTTCATTAAAGTCTCTACAACAGTGGGAATAGTTGATTTTCTGAACTTGTAAGGCAAATATTTTCGGACAGTAGAGGCAGAACGACTCACCATACTGTTTGCTTACATAACCAGGATGAGAGAGACAGAGACAAAGAGAGGAGAGAGAGAAAGTTTGGCTAATTGTTTAAACTGCGTTTTGACAGGACGATTTATCGATATGTACGTCATCATTGTTTATTTCAATTATTATTCTTATTCAAATGTTGGAAAAATATCCAATTGCAAAACAGTTGCACATGTACTGTACATTATAGAAGAATGTAGTCCTTGAAAATAATAAGTAACATGGAACATTTCTAGTTCTCTGGTAGATGCATCCTGCCATGCTTTGACATGTAATGTATGGAGTTCAAGAATCAAATCAAGCACATGCAAAGTCACCAGAGTGGAAATTTGTATGTTTATTTGCTCTTTATATAAGTGATGGTAACAGTCTTTGTGAGTCAGAGTAGTGGTATGAGACATACGACCAGACAGTGAATATTTAGATATGGGACTCACCATTTTTGGTTTCAATTTCTGATGGAGTATAGTATTATAGAAGAAGCACATGAGGATAATAGGAAGGGGGAAAGAAAACAAACTAACAACAAAAACAACAAATCATTAAGACTGCAATTACCTGAATACACTAGACCTAAAGGCAGAATTCAGAAGTCAGTACTGGCTAAAAGTATAGTCCTTTGTAGAATTTTTCATTAGTGAAGTTAAAAGATGTGCTTTAATTAAATAGCTTGGTGATCAAAAGCTGAGAGTACAAGATGTCTGTAATATTCTACACTTTTCTTTCAAGCTATTCTCCCAAAGCACTACTTTTCTCATGTCTTAATCATTTTGTCCTTGGTTCCAGTCGTTATTCTCTTCCTGAAACTCATACCTTTTTCTTACACTTCTGCTCTAGCACTACATTTCACACCCTCACAGTTACAATTTATCACACGCAGAATCATTCTCTTACCTCGAGTATATCATGGTCTCACGTGTTGATTTTGTTCACATTTTTCGTAAGTCAGATTACCAATGCAGATTAGTCACGCCCTATAGGGAAATTAAAATGTGTTTATGCATTTTATAAACAATAATACGTTTTTTGACAAGTAGCAAATGTGGCTAAGGATACCTTTTACCAAAATGGACCTGTAGGTGAATGACGAATGGTGTTTGAGTTTCTAATTGTATTTTTTATTCAGTCATGGTCCTTCAACACTAGGCTTCTCGAAGTTGGGGTTGGAAGGCAAGTTGGGGAATCAAAGTTAGAGATACTCTTAAATTAAGCTAAATAACAAAAATATTTATAATAAAGTATATCTGTGTCAAAAATCTGAAAAGTGATAAAGAAGGGGCTAGCTATCTGTTCTCACTGTATACTTTCAAATGACTTATTAGTAGTGTAACGTGTTCACACTAAAACTATAGTTTGACTCGCATTTGTTTTTTTTAAACATTATTTTGAGGATTGGCAGCTAAAACGTTCAGGATATTTAATGTGTAGTTTTAGTTTTTATAATGTCTTTACTTTTATAGCTACATAGTCTATACATGAGACAGCAAGATAGGGAAATAACCAAAAATAATAACATGACCTCTTTAATAACAGGTCACATTTTTGGATGGTCGGTAGCAGGTTTCTAGGTCTACTCTCATACAAAGATTAAGTTCAGTCCTAAAAGAGCAAAACAATTTCTTTTTTTAAGCCAAATGGATGCCCATATTGCTCCACAATATATAAGAAAAATAAGATGGAGTTCATGTACACATGCTGTGAGTGGTTTTGAGCCATTTTCCGTACACACCTTCTGAATAGATATACTGTATCGCGTGACCTGGCTTTAATCAGGTCTATTTCCATATTGCAGTTGTGCTTCCTACACATAATTGTAAAGACACATGATTTTTAAAAGAAATAGGTGGCTTTCCTCTTTTTAGATTGTTGAAAGGATGACTGGACTTACTATTCGGTGGCAGTAATGAAGTCAGCAAAAATGACACCTACAAGTTTCACATGTACACAATGTTTCCTTTCCGTTTGCACATGAAATCATCCATATTTAGTACATTACTCAAGTAACCTTTTCCCTAGCAAGTCTTATCTCTTTTATTTTGATCTTATGGCTCATACAGGTTTTGACTCAACAAATATAGGACACCAACGCAAGTTTTCGAGTCAGTCCAAAAAAACCTTAAGCTTGCAGCTTCAGCCTTTTTTTTAACCCCTTTTATATCTACAGCAAACAGTGAAGAAGTGAAAGTCTTTAAAGTGCAGTAAAAAGTTTTTGCCCCTTAAAACCGTCCTTGGTTTTAACAATAAAAAAAATAAAAATAAAAAAAAAGTCAAAAGGTTTAGTATCAGACTTTGATAACCACCAAAATCTAGTTACAATGACTATTTCATTTATAAAATTAAAAGAAATCTAAAGTGACCTACCACTCTATAAAATACAGTATAAACACCCCCCCTTAGCGACAATTTTTAACCTTTAGCCGCCAGGGATTGTAGATGTGAAACTTTCAGGTGTAGCGCCCCTGCAAGCAACTGGTAGCACTGCGCTATCACAAAATGAAACAGTCTTCCTTCATGTTTTGGAATCTGATAGCAGACCAATTTGGACCAGCATATTTTGAAGTTGAGGAGTTACTTGTGAAGACAGGGCTGCTGTTCCCACTCTGGATTAAATTCTACATCAGGAAACGAAAAATAGCCCTGATCAGATAAGTGTCATATCTTTTTTGTTGCCTAAACCAACCTTTTAGGGTTAGTTCTCATGTTTAAGGGGAGCTCCGATTGTTAGAAATCAGCTCTTTAGGTCACAAGGCCTATTTAGCAACGTATCCAAGCCTTTTAAGTTTATAGGTGAGTTTTTTTTGGAAGGACAACCAGCATGGAGCATTGATACATGTCAAGTACTGTATATTGACCTGAGAAATCTTTTAATATAAACTGATCTGGCTCAAAGCTTGCACAGTTGCTTTAAAAGCCCAATTTATTATATTAAACTAGTTTATTTTGGTTAAATTACACATGAGGTACCAAGATCTGAATACTGCAAACCTGTAGAATGAGAAAATCTGCTATACAGCACCTTTCTAACAACATGAAGTAAAAAAAAAAAGGAATAAATTAATTAAAAAACAAATGAGAAACAACACTTCTTTCTTTATGGGAAGGGTTAAAAAGTTATCACCTCGAGGCACTAGCAATCCACACTGAAGGACTTTATCTATAAAAGGAGTAAACATTGAACAGGCGTGATCATTAAGGACCTTAAGACATCTTTCCCCACCTGGTCAGTTTTGTACAGCATATACTCAGTATATTATAAATTAGTAAAATATATGAACCTTTTGGAGTGGCCTAGTCAAAGCTCAGACTTAAACTTAATTTGATTTGCTGTGTTGTGATTTTAAACAGACTGAAAATCCTCCAGTTTGGTTGAAAAACAGCAGCTTTACGCACTGACGTAAAAATTACATACATTTTTCACAGCTATTTCTAGCAAATGCTGGATGCCTACAAGGGGGGCAGAGACAGTTATCTGTTAAATTGGGCAAATACTTTTTTTTTTTTACATATATCCTGGGTTTGGATAGCCTTTTTACTAAGTAAATTGATTATAATTGGAAAACAGAATTTTGTACAGCATATTCTTAAGCTGTCTGCTGAAATAAAAAAATAAATAAAAATGTTTTATCAAGCAAAACAAAAAGCAAAAACTAAGAAAATCTGAAAAGGTCAGGTTTCACCATACTGTCCATGAACTAAATTTAATTATTGTGCATCTTTTCTTCACCCTACTGTATGTTGATCTGGGTTCATATTTTATAAAATGTTCCTCATTAATTTGTGGTTGAAATCTTAATGAATGATTCTTATTTTCACATTCAAAAATCTGACCCTCAAAGCTTTATAGCTGAGTCTGAAAAGCCAATGCTATGAGCATCTGTTAGCATCTGTTACCGAAAGCTAATGGAAAATCTATCTTGACAAATCTGGGCCACCCCTGTCTCTAGGACAGCATAGCCAAGGGATACCCAGGCTTGGTCACCTGAGATTTCATCCAACCCTAACCTGTGCAACCTGAGCTTAGGCTGAGGGATTGTATCATGGACAACATCTCCCAGTAAGCCCCACTCTGTGAGGCTGTCATTACAAGTGACAGCTTAGCAAGCATTCTTTTTCTTTTATTATGTAAAAATTATAATTTAAAAAAATAGCCAGTTTCAGATCAAATACCACAAAAATATCCTTTCAGAAGAAAGGTGGAAAGCTTCCTTTGTTTGGGTTTTTTTGTTTTGTTTTTCTTTTCGTATTTTCTATTTTTTTACACCAGTCTGTGGGTTTTTAATGATAGCTAACCAGGTTTCCTTTGGGATCTGACACCTGGGTCAGAGATAATGTTCACCTCTTGCCACTGCATTGTTTAAGTGACCCCGACGGAGCCAGGGTGTAAGAGGATAAGGGATCGGTGTGCTCTCCTCTGAGTGGACACTAAGCTCACCACAGTCAGAGTTCTACAGACTGCTGAGAGGATGCAATCTGATCTGAATCTGATGGACATCAGAACTGCATTAATGCATAAAACTGATGCTCATGTACACAGGGATGAATTCTTACTACTCAGTAAAGTCTTTAATTAATGCAGATCTGATGATCGTGAGGAATTATTGAGGGAAAAGGTTTTCTATTCTCTTTAGCAGAAAAGGTTTGCTAAATGGATTTATTATATAATCTTTTAACTTGTGTGCTTTATCCCTATCCTTGTTTTCACAAAATATATTTTCAGGTTACTCTGTTGATGCAAATATAATCTATTTAAATATCTTAATTCCACATTCTTTAAGGATTAATTTTGTATTTGTCCCATATTCATGCTAACCTCATTCAGTACACTCTATATTCACTTCAATATGCATGTTTTTTTTTTTCTCAGAAAGCACTAATGTGTCTTTTTTTTTTTTTTTTAGTTTGCCTTGTTTCAATGCTCAGTAAAGATTGCTGTCTCTGTTTCCCAGGTAACAGCCAATGCTCTTCCAGTAAGGAGGACTCAAGAATGTTAGTGGATATGTCATCACCTCATGTACCATCACATCCCCATGGTCCTAATTCCCCAAATGGTGAGCTGTCATTCAATAAATATAATATCACATCCTGTTGCCAGAACCCCTACACGATGCAGATAAAGTGTCTTCTGCATTTGTGTTTTTTTCTTACTTTCTTTTGTTGGGTTTTGTTTTGATTTGCAATAGACTAAAGATATTATTTACAATATTAGAATAATTAAAGTGTGATATTAGACCAGACAAAATAGAGCATAAATATAAGTTTAAAAAAATGTTTCATGTGTTACAAGGCTTCATCCTCAAAAAGAGAAAATTATCATAGTTCATAAATCTTTTCTGTAAGCACAAAGCCAGCTTAGTAAAAATGCAGTACGATTAAGCCAGACCTGTTGGTGGAGCTATGATGCAATGATGGAAACGACCCAGCAAAGGAACTAGGCATGCGCACAACACTACAGCGAGATTTGTGTGACATTCTGAGCATGGCCCAAGTGCATTTGTTTAGAAGCGGACCAGGAACGCATGAATCTCAGATAAAATTTCAGAGTTTTAAAAATGTTGGCCTATGGACCTCTAACATCCAGCTTCGTGATGATAAGTGGGTTTTATAGTATTTTTAGGAATGCCCAATATTGTCGTATCTACCGATATCAGCTTTAAAACAAAATTTCAGACATTCGCCATTCTACCAATATAACTCACTGATATAAAAAGTGCTGCCTTTGCAACAAACAAGTGATGATTGTGCCCAAGTGATTCATTGGTGTGCCACAGGAGAGATGCTAAGGTGAAAATGTTGATGTTTTTTAAAGTTTCAGAAACCAAAAGCCAAACTGCTATTTGATTTGACTGTTCAGGACAGGAGCTGAAAACCTAAATATGGTCCGTAAGTAGGCTGAGGGGAGTAATATCAGTATCAGTTATCAATAGTTACGTTGTGAAATGCTGGCATATTGGATATCAGCAAAACTTCCATTATTGTGCATCTCAAGAATTTATATGTTTAGGCCTGAGCTTGTCTTCATGTCAATGGGCCTGAAAATACTCTAAATAATTTGTAAATTAGTCATTTGTACATTAGTAATTAGGTTGGAAACATATTAAAATGTAAAGGGAGCTGAGTTTAAAGATGTCAAATTTTGTCAAAGAGATCAAATTTTTGTTAAATCCCAATTTTTTTTTTTTGTGTGTGCATTATTTTTCTTCTAACTTTACAATCTTGCACCACCTCGTACTGATTTATCAGCTGAATTCCAAATGAAATACGATAAAGTTTGTGGTTGTAAGATGAAAAAATGCAAAAATACAAATTTGTATGCTGTCTCAGTGAACCTGAAAAAGCCTTCTGATAGGGCTTTGAAAAACAAAAATCCTATAAGAAGGTTTTAAAAACACACCTTTTCATTTTCCATCTAATGGTATAATATAATAAAGATGGTAAATTATAATCCTCTTAGAGAATGTCATGAGTCAATCTTAAATAGAAAATTAAGACATTAAGGAAAGAGAGCTCAAAAACATCAGCCTGTGTCAAATGAATGATGCATAATTCACTTAGTGATTTCAGGTACTCGGATAAGTAAACCTTTCATTCCATAACTTCGTTATGCACACACTGAATTGAAATTATGTTGCATTTACTCCTGTTTGACCATAAACAGAATACAAAATATAAGAAATGTAAAAAAAAACATAAAAGATATCAATGTATAAAAAGGGGGAAAAAGACTATTTAGACTATGAACATGGTCTTATAGTTGGAATAAATTACAAAATGAATAACAAAACTCCACATAACTAAAATGTGTCATGGCTGATATTGTAATGGATGATTAATAGAAAAATTTATATAATGCAAACAAATACAGTTCATAACATAAAACTGAATGTGAAGCCAATAGATTTCATGAAAAGAGCTGTTGCACAAAAGTGTACCATACTGAACCTTTGTGTAAAATATGGAACTAAGTCCAAAGTCGGTCCTGTAAGTCTACTAACGAGAAAACCCTGACAATCTCAAGCAATGTTACAATGAAAAAGCAAATAAAGAAAAGGGGAAATACAGTAAAATGAGGCAACTAACAAGTATAACAGAAACCTTTTCTTTGAGAGGCATGAATGCAAGATGAGAACATGTTTTCTGCGCTGTTTTTGTGTTATTTTATACGTCCTAACGTGTTTTGAATTTTAAAGGCTTTTTAAAATGATGTTTAATAATAGACCAGTTTACAAAAGCAAAACAATTTCAGTGCCAAACTTGCAAGCTCAAACAGAACATTTATGATTATTCATTCTACTTTCTATTCACTGAGAATGGAAGAGTAAAATTAAAGCCTTGGAGTCAATGACAGATTGGATGGTAAAGATAGCAGAAGTCTTCTTTCATCTGCCTTGATAATGTTTTATTGCTTTTAGTCCACCAATAATGGTATCCTTTGCTGTTCTTCATAGATAAATCATTAGGAACTCACATAAAACATCATTATAGTGTAACTAAAAGAAAATATACTTTTATTATATAAATTTCTTGCTTCTTTAGTCAGAACTAATTAAATTAGAGTATGTTTTTTCCTCACGTCTGTAAATTTCAGTCTCCTACAATGGAGAGACGGAAGCAGACACACAGAGCTGAATAGCAAGGACATTTAGGTCTTGTCTGTGTTGCCAGGATACAGCTGTCAAAGACAAGCCTCAGTTTCAACTTGGCCATTGGGATAAATGAAACGTATAGTTGCAGCTTGAAGATCACTACTTTGCAATGAATATAGAATAAAATCTGATCTTTGTGCTGTAGTCTGCTCCAAGTTTTGAGTGTATTTTTCTTACAAAGCCTGAGAGGCCATTTGATGAAAACAGTAAAATGGAAGGATTCAATGAAACAACAGCCACAAAGAGTCACACTAAGATTATTTCCACTGCAAAATCCTAAAACAGGATCTTCAGGATCAGTAAGTTGCGGTTAGAATGTGTTCACCTTTTGTTTTTTCTTAGCCAAATGTTGGGCCCCTTTTATATTCACTTTAAAACGAGGGAAAGACTTGCAGTGCCTACCTGATAACATATCTTCACTGGAACACGGAAATTTTGGAAGAAGGGAACAAAATCAAGTCTGTATGATGAGACAAATCATCAGGTTATGTAACAGTGAGAAAAATCCCCTGGGTTTAAGTCTTTGGAAAACACTCTTATCAAAACAGAAAACTAAAAACGTTTAAATGGATAAATTTCCTGGAGAGGTATGGCTCTATAGGACTACAGCAATAAAGTAAAATAAAGAGATAAACAGGAGGAAAATGAATTATACGTTCCATTAAATGTCTTATTTTTATGGTTTCAAAAATCTAAATTGTGAAGGATGTAATGAAATCCCATTGTCATTTCATTTTTAGCCCCACATAATTTCCTCAACTCAAAATAAATTCTGATTAGTGAATTGTAGAAGTTTTCCCTCACAAAAATCCTTTTCTGTGTTGGAGCTGTTTCTGAGTAAAGATGTAAAAAAATTTAAGTAAAACTAGTAACAATTCTATCTGGTGGACACTGATTAACTTCTTAAGAAATATCTGTTAAAATACGTACAATTAAATTTTATGAGCTGTTATAACTTTTGGATCTATTTTTGCTACACACTCAAATACACAAATGCACGAGCACTGGCTGTATTGCACAATCTTTTGCCCTTGTCATCCATTGTATCTCCCATGGGTAGGCAGCAGCAGCCAGCAATGTGCCTCTGACACTCCTTTTCTCCTCAGGGACAGCTTGAAACCAGACCATCCTGTTTTCTTTCCTTTTTTTTTGTCTCAGTCTTTTCTATCTTTTGTGTCAGTCCATCCTGATTCTGTATATTACTTAAGTTGATTCAGTTATAACTCCATTACATTTTGTTGTACATTATTATAAATGCTTTTGGAAATCCAATTCAAATATAATTTTTCATGATCATGCCATACAAAGCCAATATGTGTAGTGATATGTTTATTGATCCTTGTGAATATTGTTGGAGCATACATGTGTATCACAGTGTCAGCATGTAGAAATAATCACATATTATAATCTTTACAGAAGTGGCCATAAAGCAAGAGGAAGATCTTGTGGAAAATGGTGACAACAGCAGCTCGGCACCTGAAGAAATGGGCCACACAGGAGATGAAGGAGCAACAATGGAGGAATCATTGACGAACAGCCCACACAATGCACAGGATGGGTTGTCTGGGCCAAATGTACCATCAGATCCAGTAATTCGACAACAAAATGGTAAGATCATAAAGTGCATATAGGGACGTTTGGTACAGTATAGCTCTGTCATTTTTAAAAACTCTTTAGGTTTCGGTTGGAGATTTTGTGGATAAATCAATGTGACGGTGAGTCAGATGCCTTTTATTTTTTTTTGTTCCTCGACAGTGGGTGGAGTTTTCTTTTTTTCAAGCACAACAGTTATGTGTTTAAATGATTAACAAGGAAAAAAAATATCCTTGGAATCTTCCGCAACCTGTTTCCAACTGACGCCACAACTCCTCCGGCTGTCATCACATTTGGATCAGATTTCTCTTTTTCCAACTGGCGTCAGATCAAAAGATTTACATCTGAACGCGAAGCAGTAGCATACATAGTAATCTGACCATCCAAATCACAGGACACTCAACCAGATGTATATTTTCAAGCATGATGCATCTAAGCTTCTGATCTAAGTAGTAATAGTTTTAGAATGACCTAAGGATACCCTGAATTACACATTATTACACTTAATGAACAAATTACAGTAGAGGCAAAGGCTAGTTAGGAAATAAATGATGGATAAAAATATGTCATTATTTAATTTTGTTTAATTATTTGCATAGGAAGTGCTAATCCTCTAAAACATCTAAATACCAGTAACAGTATACAGCTTATGTACCTTTCACTCTTAAGGTAAAACTGGTAAAAAGATTTGAGTCTCAGTCCTAGTGACCAGGACATTTTTAGGGCAAAAGTCTAAGTCGATTCAGGTATTTACCTCAAAGCGTTATGCTCAAAACACCCTCTGTAATGGCACAGTTGTGAGTAAGCTTATACACTAAGCTTGGTCACCTAGTTTTGAGAGATAACATAGATCGGAGTTGGTTTTAAACATTTTTAATAATTGGAAATCTTACAGCTGCAAGTTTTTTATTTAATCCTTCACAAGTATCTTTCATTTTGTGAACATCATTTATGAGGTCCGTCCAAGGATTCAAATTTGATTTAGATCTAGGCTTTAACTAGGCCATTTTAATTCATGAATATGCTCTTATCCGAACCATTCTATTATAGCTCTGGTTGTATGTTTAAGGTCATTCCCCTACTGGAAGATAAACCCACATTTTAGTTCCAATTATTTTGTAGCATTTACCAGGTTTCCATGTGAAACTACCCTCTATTTTGCTCCATCCATCTTCAAACTGAACAGCTCTTCTGCCCCTCCTAAGAACAATATTCCCCACAATATGGGGCTGCTAGGGCAGTGTTTCCCAACCGTGGGTATGCATACTCCTAGTGGTCCACGAGTGCATTGCAAGGGGTACCATGAGAATATTTCTTAGGTAGTAAAATAAAATAGGGCTGTAATATATTTTTCTTTGTGAGGACCCAACTGAGAAATTAAACAAGCTTTTATGAATCAAAAAGTAAATTGTTCTTATATGTTTGAGATCATGTTGAGCTGTGACAAACATCCAGACCAAGCAGAGAAACAGACTGGAAGTAGAAAAAAGCCTGGTATCAGCTGTTTTTCACACTGAGCTATAGAAGCTCATCAAAGCAGCTCAGGTGTCTTGATGAAAACAAAGTAAAACTAATTAAGTCGGTCTGACTATAATTTTTGTTCTGTATTTTGTTCCCAATTCATCAAGTTTAAATGTATTTATAAGAGAGTTACTCAAAGGAGCTCCAGTTTTATGAATACAGGTTCATCATATGATTTAATTTTGTTTTTATTTCAAATACTAACTTCCAGGCAACATATTTATTTGTTTTTTTTTTTGTTATTTGAGATGGAAAACATAATTTTTTTAAAATTAAACGCTCACATTAATAGATGAAGCTATTGTATGATCCACTTTTGGACAACGAATACATTTGACTGAGAGGGGTACAGAAAAAAATGCCCAATGGGGTACAGAAGTCAAAAACTGTTGGGAAACACTGTGCTAAGGTATCATCCGACCAGACTCTTCTTCCACATTTTCCTCTCTTACACATTATTGTTACAACTCTAAGCATCTGGTTACTGCTATTTTTACGTAAAGGTCATGATTTTAAGATAAAGGCTATAGCGAATTTTTGAATAAAATGCTTTACAAATGAGTGTAGAATCTCAGAAACTTAAAAGTCTACATCTTCTATGACTGTATTTCCGTGTGGGGCTCAATAGGCTTTCAGGGTTTGCTGATATTTTTTATTCATTGTCTGAAAGTTCAACGATGTTTTACAGATTTTTTTTCTTTGTATATTTCTTACTCTAAGTTTAAAGGAGGTTAAGTCTTTTGTAAAAAGATATAGTGAAATGTCTAACTTCTCATCTAGAAATAATAAAACAGTTGCCAATGGTTACACATTGACGAAGTCAGTTTTCAGTCATTATGTAAGGTGTTTAATTCTATTCAGAACAGGGAAATTATCCTTATTCTTGCTTTAATTTGCTTATAACAGTCATTCATAATCAGTATGCGGTTAACTTTCTGTACTGTTTTCTTTCAGGTGAAAGGCCATTCCAGTGCAACCAGTGTGGTGTGTCTTTCACCCAGAAGGGAAACCTGCTGCGACACATAAAGCTGCACACAGGTGAAAAACCCTTCAAATGCCCCTTCTGCAGCTATGCTTGCAGACGTCGCGATGCCCTCACTGGTCATCTCCGCACTCATGCTGGTAAGCTCTGTTCTCACCCAATCTGCTTCTCTTTTTTTTTAACCGAACCATGTCTGTTACTGGGAAGAGACGATTTTTGTTTCGCCAGAAGTGTTATGAAGATAAAAAAAGAAGAAGTAGTTTTATATTTAGACAAACATATACAAAATTTCCCCCCAAAAGACATTTTAGCTCTCTATGTATTCATGCAGTCAATACAATGTAGATGTCAGACTAATTTTCCCAAATGCATTTCAGATAAAAAGCATGCTTGATATCAAGGCTTTGTTTACATTTCTCCCTATTATTGCTCTGATATTAGTATGACTCAGGGGAACCTGGAGGTAAAAGATCTGTTTTTTATTTGGAAAAAGGTCATTTTTTTATGTGCATATTATAGCATGGTTGTGAGTGCTTTGTGGTTAGGTTCCAAGGACATATTGTTTCTCAGCTGCTTTCGTAGAGACGGAGGAAACTGTTGAGAAACACATGTGTAGTGGCAGCAGTCTCTCTAAACTGTAACCCACTTTCCTATCAGAGGATGTGCTCTCCCCTCCATTTCGCCTTTGAAATCAAGGTCAGACAATACCGTCATTTCTGCTTGTGATGCCCGCACTGGGGTTTCTCATTCAAAGTCCTCTTTTTAGTTGGAAGCAGCATTTGTTTTGGGGTGTGTACGAGTAAGTAGCTACTTTTACGTCTTTCATTTAGTTCGACATACAAAGTCCTACACAAATGTTACCTTCTAAACTCTTTAATTTTTAGAAATATTACCTAAGAGATTTGTTTTTTTGGGGGGATTTTAAATTGCATACAACATATAAAATCTGAAAAGTGCTGTTTAACTTTCAGTAGGCCTAAACTCTCTTTTGAAACTATTACAGTTTGTTGGGGGATAAATACTTGTTATCCTTTCCTTGGATGCTTGCTTGATGTGTCGCTTTAAATTTGAAGTGGACGTGGCTGACTTACGGATATGTTAGTTAAGTCCATGTGGACAGTTTGCACTGTCTGAGTCTTCCTTTGTCAGTTCATAAAACTCTGCCAAGCGCTCTGCAAAACTGGTATCAGAAATACCAGTAGATGAGTCTGTATCGCTCAGACTAGTACTAGCAGTAGACATGCTGGTCTGTCATGCTGTTTGCTGTAATAAGTGTCATAAAACCTGACATTATCAAGTGAAAAGTGTTGTTACCAATTGAACACGAACATGAGCTGTGTCTGTTGCTCATTATTCTCAGAGTTAAAGTCGCTCTCCTTTACTTTATCGGTTACTTCGAAATTGGTCCGTTCAGTTCACCAAAAATATGAACGTATGCAGTGAAAGCCACTCATTCACGACACTGAATGCTGGGGCATCAAAAGCAGCCCAGCCTTTTGCAATCACCACTTTCTAATCCTGTGTTTTTCGAGCTTTGATGATGCAAGAACGCTACATTGTCGTATATTTAAATACCACTCCATCACTGAATAATTAGAGCTAACTTTTGCAAATACAATGATTGTGTCAGATAATGTTGCTGACGTGCTCGCTGCTACACAGATTGACAACTTTGCACTTAAAAATTGATTTTTGAATGAAGTTGTTGCCCCAAACTTACTCATAGATATGGTTTGATAGAAATCATTAGCGTTGTTGTTTAGCTGGAAGTTAAACCATTACCCCAGTTTCAATTCTGATACACACTCTATCAGGTTTTTCTTTCCCTGTGTTTATTCTCATACATTATTTCTTAATCAAGAGAGATAGCTCCAAAGAATGATGAAGTTGTAATTGAAATTGAATTGTTCAAAGGGATGTGCAGTGTCCAGTTTTCACTTCAGCTAACTTCAACTAACTTCCTTATAAATAGTCTCCAACCTAGTAAAAGTTACGGCGATACAGACTCTCGTTTTATCCTAGTTCGTTACATAAACATGAAACACTTTGGCTGACATGTTTCCCCTGTTTCAGTAACTGTAATCAAATAGAGATGATCCAATGCGATGCAATGATTGATTTTTGATAATTAAAATTCAAATAAGTTCTAAATTGTCCCTTTAAGAAGTCAGATTTAAAATTATCTTAAAACCACATATACTTTACTTCTACTATATGCTACCTTGTGATTGTTCACAAAATTCAGATGATATACTCTGAGATCTTTGGCTGTAAAACACAAGATCAATAGGTATGATTACTTTTTTTCAAAGTTTATTCTTATATCCTTTCTTTTTTTATATAAGATGACACTGCTGGTTTGGTTCCCTGCCAACAAGAACAAGTTTAGCAAAAGGAGAGCGAAAATAGAGAGGAAGAGAGAGAGAGAGAGAGAGAGGGAGAGCCTAGGGGAGGGAAAAGGAAAAAAACTGCGAAGTCAGTTAAGAAAAAAGGTAAAAGAAAGACAGTCAGTGAAGGAGGAACACTGAAGGCTGACCTGTGTCAGTCTGAATATCATTGTGAAAAAATGACAAAAAAATTCTGTGCTAAGAAGGAAGTCTTTTTTTTATTAGGTGCTACATGCAAGCAGGTTCCCAATTTATTTGCCAAATGCAATCAGCCAAGTAAGTTTGAGTTAAAAGTACATAAATAAGAACAGCAGGTAGATGTGGGTTTCAGGTCATACCAACATTCGTACAAAGTTGTGCGGAGGTGGTCATATACTGCATATATGAAAAGTAATATCTGCATTTTCCTTTGCATAAGGTTCTGAGAATAAATTAGTAACATTGAACAAAAGTTCCATTATTTGCATAGGTGAAAATAAATCCTTGAAAACTCTTTCATCATCCAAAAAAAACACTGAGCTTCAGCAGTGTTCGGTAATGCTGCAAAATATTTTATACCTTTAGTAAGAGAAGAAATGCATGTAGTGATGTAGAGATAGCATTGTCTTGTCATTTTGTAACCATTGGGTTTTATATAAAAGGTGTTTTTTTTTAGGTTTGGGGGGAAAATATACAGTAAAACATTTTCTGTAAATAACGTAAGGCTTTTGCTTCCATTAGATCATATTTTAGTAAGCATACCTTTCTTTTTTAACATTTAGAGCTCCAATGTCAATAAGTGAATCTGCCTCCAAGTACAGTATATGTGTGTAAGCATGGGTGTATGCGCGTGTTTAGGTGTAGTACTGCCTTAATGTCTCAGACTGAAACGTGCTTGGTTTCTCTGTTCTCACAGTACTAGATCGCCCATACATCATTTTCTAGTAGTAATGGTAAAAACTATACCAGTGAATGTTGGGTACAGCCAATCATAGTCTCTGGTCCTCAGTAGTAGACTTATGTGGCCTCCAGTTTACTCACTTACTTTCTTTATGAGTCAGTACCCTAATACAGGACACAAAACGACTGGCTTTATCGTGGTTTGTGTGGAGATTTTTCTACTGAGCATTTAAACAGATGTGCATTTTTCACTAAAGTATTTGATGCCTATTTGGTTAAAAATAGCGAGTTTAAAAGCAAAGAAGGTGGGCTGACTGAGAAAGATGTAAAGAGTACATCTTCATCTTTCCATTTGAATGAACTGAATACAACAAAAGTGTTATGAATCACACTCCACCTCCGTAGCAGTTTAACTTGGAGTTACTTTCCTACCATCATGGGATGCATGATCAACTCCGTTATTTACTCATGCTGCCACAGCAGTGGGAGTTTGCTTTGCGTGGCACAGACCAAAGTATTCTGAAATAGAGACTACATGGCGCAACTATTGATGTCGCCCACAGCCTTTGTTTCAGTCTAGCAACACTTGTGTGGAATCCTCAAACTAGTAGTGGAACCTCCATGACCTCAGAAGCTTACTTTTGCTTGATTTGTACTACTAACTGGTCTCAAGCTTTGTTGCTATTACGTACTGCTCTGATGCTGCAGCACCAGACTCTACCCACTATGCAGCTGTAACTGAAACAATATTTTTCCATTGATTACCAATTATTTTAGTTGGAAAGCCACACAAGTGCAACTTCTGTGGACGGAGTTACAAGCAACGAACATCCCTGGAGGAGCACAAAGAGCGGTGCCACAGTTACCTCAGCTTGGATCCTGGTGCCAACACAGGCCCTTACCCAGGTAAACGATTGCATAACACAAAGAAATCAGCTAGTGATCCAAAGTTGACAGATTTTATTTTTGATTGTCTCTGATTAGTATCAAACTACTCTGAAACTGAAAAATAAATGTTTTTTCTGATAAATAAATGCAACCTCTCTAAGTGCTATGATCTTCTTTAGAGATGCTTACGCTGAAAATAGATAAACTTTTTTTTGTATAGTAAGGTGTAAGTAAAGATGTATGACATTATTCCCATGGAGACTATATTTAAACATGTCTAGACATATCTGCAATTATTTAGGCTGTCAGACAGAAAGAGAGTAAGACTCTCAACAAATAACAAGAAGGCTCAGCAGAGGGCAGTAAAATGTGAATCATCCCTTTTATTTTTATGAAGGAACTTTCTTATCAGATATCTATAAATGAAAGGCAAAATTTAGATTGATCCCTTCTTTGATTAAATTAAATAAATAATTAAAATAATAGTAAAAACAAATATGCAAATAATAAAAGCTTGTTTTACCTGCTTTCCACTCATACTTGTGAAAGCAGCCAAGCTGTTGTTTCAACTGCATGACCTTATGTAGGCATTTTCAATAGCGCAGTATGAAAGGGAATCTCAACAAATGCAGGTATGATTTTTTTTTAGCACTTCCTATCCAAATTAACCTGGTCCCCAAGACTTGGTTGGTGTGAAAGAACCCTTTGTTAATCTAGCGGTTATAACGTAGCTAATTATTCATTTTAGATGCTCTGCAGCAATGCAGACTTTTTATTAATAAGTAATAGTAACTGTGAACATTTGTTTTTTGTTTCCTAAAATATTAGTCAAACTAACCTTGTTTTAGGAACTGTTTTCTCACACAGTAACACGATATCTGCTTCTGATTGAAATAATAAACAAGTAGGCTATACAGTCAGAGGATTTGAAAGCAATACTTTTAATGTTGTAGCCCTTTCCCATTATAATAGATATTTTAATGTGACATAATTTGTATGAGCAGATAAAGGCTTAAAGGAGCAATAAGCAAAACTTCACCTCTAGGTGGGGCTGTTAAGCACTGTCTGCAGACTCAAACACGTTCAACAAGTGGCGCCTCTCCCTACCTAAATTCTAGCTGCATCCCCACCACCTGTAGCTACTTATGCACATATTTGCAAAAGATAATTATACAACTGAATCTTCACTACCTTGCAGGAGGAACTTGTCTAGTGAAGAAGTGACTAACTCATAACTCTATAATGCTGTTAGCAAAAGAATTTAATTTTGGCAAAAGATTGTTTTCAGGTGAACATTTTGATTCACTGAACGTGTTTCCCAACATTTTGCTCCTAAGCTACTTTGCTCTCTGTAGACAAAGTCATAAGTAAGTGGCAGCAACATGCATGGACGTATAAATGCAGCCAGTGCCGAGAAATAACTGTGTGCTGAGAATGACCTCCCCTTTTGAACATGATGATGAGAAAATGGATTAAAATATGAACGAAAAGGGAACTTTTAAACATATTCCTAATGTTTTCATGTTTCTTATGCATGGATGCCCTAAAATTAAAGGGGTCCTGGAATGATTATATAGGGTATTTGCTGCTGGTCCTTAAGGTCTCTGAAAAGGGTGTAACATTGGTTGGGCTGAAAATGACATATTTGCTGTTCTATGCACCCTAATGCAAGCCTGGTTAAAAGCCCTAGAATGAAACAACAGGTTTTCTTCCTTTTATGGTATGCTCAAGAATATCTAGATTAGCTGTGCATTGATTGGTTGGTTTACAGCGAGCGAAGCTGTTGAGCAAAGACGCATCATAGCAACAAGCACTCATTCACTGAAACATCGAAATTGTTTATATGTGTAGGGTGACCAGACGTCCTCTTTTTCCTGGACATGTCCTACTTTTCATACCTAAAAAATGTTGGGGGAATTTCAAAATCGTCCAGGATTTTGGTCGACAACAGTGCAGCACGGAGTCGAAACACCACAGCACTCAAACTCAGCCGCCCAGGAACCCCAGTGGACGGTGTAGGGGAGTCAGCGGGGGACAGAGCGACTAAACCGACCCATTAACAGTACCCTGGACACTGGCTGGACACCGCCTGAGGTCCGGTCCAGTCAGCGGCCCAGCAGTCGACACTTCATACCCAAAGAGCTAAACTAGTGTCTTACATCTTCGTGACGTCTATTCATGTTCTTTGGCCAGTGAACCAGTGGGCTGGTCTCTATGTAAATTTCGGGGGGTGACAAAAGTACAGGCCAGAACCAAATAAGGCACCACCCCAAAGTTTACGTCAACTCTGGGCGTCGTTTGGATTCACCTGTTTTATGGTCGAAGTTTGGAATTGTGAGATTTGCATAGAAAGGGTGTCAATGGGGTTTGAACTTCTCTGTATGTCCATTTCACCCACTGAACTGTTATTATTCATTTATGACAATGTAAACTCGGTTTTGCATTCTATGACCCCTTTAAGAGTTTGGGTGCACAGATAAATGCAGAGAAAATTGCCTAAAGTCTCACACAATGATGAGAAAACGAATTGAAATATGAACGAAAAGGAAACTTTTAAACATAATCTTAATGTTTTGTCAGAAATGATATAGAATGGTGTTGATAGCAAAATCGCGAAATGCTATCCACTGAGCAGAGAATATATTCATCAGATACTGACTGTAGCACATCGACTAAAACATGTCTCCATACAAGTAAAAAATCGTATTTGTTCGAATTTATCTGTCTACCAAAACTCTCAATTTTAGGGCACCCATGCATAAGAAATATGAAAACATTGAAAAATATGTTTAAAAGTTCAATTTACGTTCATATTTCGATACGTTTTCTCATCAGTGTGGAGATGGGAGGTATATCTCGACTGGCAGGTATTTCTTAGACTGGCTTCTAAACATTAGAAAGAACAGAATCAAAGATATGAGTGAGACACCATTCAATCGAATTCCATCACTAGTTTTTCGTTCTTTCTTTCTAAAATAATTGGTAATTGCCCATTGCTCCTTTCAATGCCTCAGATCTGATTAAATTACTCTTATGAAACAAAATCTTTCGAACTTAAACAATCTTGCAATATTAAGAAAAAAAATCATTTTAAAATTATAATTTCAATGTAGTATACATGATTTTATAGAGACTACAATAATGCATGTTGAAATTAAATTTTTTTATTCATTTTTTATCTGTTGTATATTTGTTAACACAGTTTATATATTCATCATTTTCATCATCATCCTTCTCAGGTGAAGTTGCAAAAGAGGTCAGGGCCATGGCCGAGCATGGCAGTATGCCAGGCTTTGATCGGCCGCCTGTAATCGAAAGGCTGCCCACTAATGTTGGCAAGAGGAAGAGCACTACACCTCAAAAATTTGTGGGTGAGTATGTTTTGTATTGGCCAGATGTTGCCGAAATAATTTATGGTGTTTTGTAAGCATATTATTTTAAGTTTATCCTTTTCATTGTGTGGTAATTATTTATTTATTTTTTTACTTCAGCAAATGCATTAAATAGTTGAAATACAAAATTATAATTTAGATCTTAAATGGGATTTTTGTTGTTCTTTCACACTTCAAATGTAGCTTTTTTGCGGGAACTTTTGAAATGTCTTTTACTACTTTTTATTTTAATATAAATTGCCTAAATTATTTAACGTTTCACGTTATTTTTCAAATATTTATTTTGAAAGAGATTTTCATCTTCCTTCTTGGTGTTGCATCATATCCTTATAACACACAGCAACTCTGCCCTATTTATGAGATGTTTTTTTTTCTCTCTTCTTTTTTTTTTATTTGCCACATTATTAGAGGAAGAGATTGAGCAAGCCAGAGCAAGCAAAGGGCTCAAAGGCAAGGAAATGTTTTTCACTCTGTGGTTAGATACACCTGTAACTTATAACATTGCTCTTATCAAGTGAAAACAGCTTACCGCATCCCTGTTCTGGAGGGGTTAAACAGTGCAATAGTAGAAGGATGGGGGTTTCCACCCAATTAGACTGCAACATGTAGAGCAAAATGTGAAAAACAACAGCTGAAATAGCAGCACAGCATAGGTTTTTATGCCCTAGAAAGGAAATTACCCCCATACTCAGATTTTTGTTTTCGCATACCACTGCCTTTCCCAAATGTAATTTAAAGAAACATTTTCCTTAATTTATGTCTGTTTTGTTTGAGTTATTTATTTTTACATTTTTTTTACATTTTTAAATCATTATTTTGTTATTTTTTCTATAGGAGAAAAGATTCGCTACAGCTATCCTGATATAAGCTATCATGAGATGCGCCTGAAGTATGAAAATCATCCTGAATTGATACCACCCCACATGATGGACCAGGCTATTAACAATGCCATGACATATTTGGGAACAGATGGAATACGTCCTATGCTCCACCATCCTGGTCCATCTATATCTATGGCTGATGTTGTACCCATTGTAAACCCCCTTTACCACCATGTCCTGCCAGTGGGTCAGCAACCAGAACGTCCAGGGAACTGTGAAACACTTCCACCACATCCAAATCAATCCCATGAGTTTCCAAGCCATTCCACTTCAAACGGCACCAGCTCATTAAGTCGGCAGAACAAGCCACCTCAGCCATCACAGGAGGAATCAGCAAGCAACAGTGGCGTTGATTCAGCCGACTCTGCTCGGAGCAGTCCTCAGGACAGGCAGGGCTACCTTAACCCCAATGCACCTGCAAGCCACAGGTTACGAGCCAGTCCAGCTGTGGGCTCTGGAGAGCGAGTTATAAATGCATCACCCAGTAGTGGGGCAGGTATGGGAGCGGGTATGACGCGAGTTGCCACAGAACGGCCAGTGGGCCACGAAGGAGTGCGAGTGTTTGCTCGGGAGGGCCACGAGCTGCGAGCTTTTCAGTGTGAGCACTGTCGGCTGCTGTTTCTGGATCACGTGATGTACACCATCCACATGGGCTGCCACGGTTACAGGGATCCCCTGGAGTGCAATATCTGTGGTCACCGAAGCAAAGACCGCTATGAGTTTTCCTCGCATATAGTTCGAGGGGAGCACACTTTTCATTAAATGGGACTAATCAGAAACAAGCTTAGGAAAGATATGAACGTCAACCTGCCATCCATCCTTTTCCTGTGAAAAGGCATAATTCAGTGGCGCTGTAGACAAGTGTAGCACAATCAAAGACTTTCTTTTTAAGCTACTGGTTGTAAATTGGAGCTTTTGAACAATCACATGAAGGTATGGGCCAAAGACATGATTTTTACTTATTTATATAACTTAGAAAGAAAAAAAAAACTTTCAATTATTTTTCTTTTTTTTACTAATCAGTTGTTCATCAGAGCAACTGCTAGAGGGCTTAAGAAGTTTTTCTCATTTTACAGTCACGTGGAAATGTCTTTCTTGGAGATTTTGAGTTGAGTTAGCCTTCAATGAATAGCCAGTATCACAATGGCAAAGTCAGATGCTATGAGGGATGAGTAAAATGTATAAAGAAAAGAACAATAGAACAAACTCACTGGTGCATTACTGGTTATATTAACGAGTTTAAGGTAAACCATATATGAAAAGGTACAAATGGTTCGATTATTTTTCATAGAAATTCAAACAGCTTGGAAAAGTGGTAAAGTACCATTACCTCTGGATTCAATTTTACAAGTTTTACAATCAAACATTTTTTGGAGATGATTCTTCCAAAGTTATACAAAAGATTTTCGCTAAGCCTATTGTTTTGATTTAAAGTTCTCATTTGGGTTATACTGATTTTTTAAATTCTCTTTTTTTATTTTGAAATTCAAAATAATACATTCAAATGGAAGCACTAGTTTTATGGTAAAATGGATGAAGACAAATTCATTTGGCCTTAAAAAATTAAACAATAGATTAACAATCGTTTTTTTTTAGATTTATACAGTTGCCTCATTCATAAATCATATACTGACAGTGGGAGGTGCTGTTTCTTCTGGTTATCTCAAAGGCATTGTCCTATATGTTAGACCCACCACAACATGACTTAAGAAAAATGAAAACAAAAATTATTCTGAAAAGTTTTATTTACCATATTTTAGGCCTGGCACAATATGATGAAATTGACTGTTTTGTTCAGTTAATTTAAATGAAAAAAGAAAACATTTTTGGAGATGCACCTACTAAGAAGAACAACAGGCTATGAAGTAAAACAACTTGCAAGGCTTTTTTTTTTCAATAACATCCAAAATATTCAATATAAAACAGACAATTGTATTTGCTTGCTTCTTTACATTGTTTTCATCTCTTCACCTTTAGCGCAGCTTTAGATTCAACAACCTTATGCAATTATCATTTTTTTTAAACTGCAAGAATATTAAAATAAGCTCAAGATTGGACTTAGATGCATGGCCCGATAGTCTAATTTCATTCCCTATATTTTGTCAAGAGCAGCTTTCGTTCTTCACTTCTAAAGTAAAAACATCTCCTATTTTTTTTTTTTTAGTTACTACGTTGTAAATTGTGTCTTTTATATTGTTTACTGCTGTAACAATATGAAACTTGATGTCACTGGTTTTAAATGTAGGTATTTAATCTGGTTTCCTAATAATCTCATCACAGTGCTTTGCGGATTAAACTTTTAAGGAATTGAATGATTCTTTATTAAAAAGAAAAAAATATTGGATATTTTGTTGTTAAATAAGCCCTTGGATAAAGAGTACAGCACAGAGTCCTAACTGACTTAAAACTTAGATTTGCTCCAAAAAGATCTAAGATTAAAGCATGGATTTGAAGCAAATGGGTGGACCAGGTCTTCAGAAAATACCTTGTGAGCATTTTAGTAAAGAAGATACTGCCGCCACCTCTCGATCTGGTTGTAAAATGGGGATTTAAGCCATAGGGGAACAAAAATTGAATCTAAATACACAGCCGCAATGTTTTTTAATGTACCTAACTAAATGAGATCAAGTGTCTTTTTGTATGACTCGGTCTCAGTTAAATGTATATTTTGTATAGCCCAGGTAATACATGCATTTTTCAGCATTCAGCATTATCACCATCACAGAGAAACATTTTACTAATGCTGAAGCTCAAGTGTTGCCTCGTTGGCTTTCAGCTGCGGTTTTATGAGGCCTGTCAGCCTCTAATGGGGCTGCTCTTTATCTTTTCTTCTTCAGCCTGATCTTGCAAACAAGAAAGTACACACTAATGCATGTTAGTTTCCTTCACTCAATCTTGTCTTGTGTGTTTGCTATTTTCCCTTACATTCACTTAGGAGCTTTAGCAGCATAGGTCAAGAAAGGGACAGTGTCAGAATGGGGATACAGTAAGTGAACATAGGATGATTTCCACGAGAAGGCACTTCCAAGGACTGTACCAAATGTTCCATATGACCATTAATAAACCTCTAGTATCACGCATTAAAAGAACGTAAAGGCAAACTACAACATGTTACTGTAGGAAATCATATTTGGATGTGAAAATCTGGTCCTGTCATTGTTCCCAGCATTGTGCTAGGAACAGTAGCCTGTGGTCATGCACTTATATATCTGTCAAGGAAATATCCTTTGATGTAGGCGTAACAGAAAACAATGCAGCTTATTTAATTAAACATTCTTTAGCAGCTTAATGAATACAAAACTTCTGTTTAGGTTTATTCTGATGTCTTATAATTGTTTTTTTTTTTATGTAATAACCTCTATAAGTTATAAGGCATTATTAGTTTCAAACAGCTCTTTTTTAAGTTTGATTATACATCCACTTAAAGGCAACCATATTTTCTTTTTATATGTTGCCTCTTCAAATAGGAGATAATTCAAATGTTTTGGTATAGGAAATTGTTTACACCTTGCAGCTATCATCATAATATATATATAGATATATAGATATATATATAGATATATATATATCTATATATGTGTGTGTGTGTGTGTGTTTGTGTGTATATGTATTATTTTTAAAATACATTCTTTTAAATGTATTGCAGCATGCATTTTCCTTTTTGTCTTTCTATCTGTCTGTCTGTCTTTCTGTCTGTCACTGGCTGGCTGGCTGGCTGGCTATCTGTCTATATTAGCAGCCATGTAAAGAAAAAGTCTTCTTTCACCCTCTGTGTAACTGGGGACTTTACTTGAAAATTCAGATCAATTCTAATGTTACATGTTGTGTGTGTGTGTTTTTTTTCTTCCAAGTTTAAAAACAAGCGTTGTAAATGTTCTATTTTTCTGCCGAAATGTTGATACAAATAGTTTTGTGAACGTATGGTTTTGAAGTTTTGCAAATGTTTACAAAATTGTACAAGGAGTGGCTCTGGGTGTACAAAACTGATCTTGGCACTGAATATTGAAATTATTCAGGAACTTGTGCCGAATGATGAGTTTTGATATTAATAAAGACTCTTAGTGTAACGGCTCTCAGGAATTTAAATAGGCCTTGTATTTTTTATGTAGTTTATTTATCAAGAAAGATGCACTGAGATTTCTCTGATGCCTCTTTAACATTGAAAGTGGTGAAGGAAGTTGTTCATACCTGTATTTTCTCTGTTCTTTTTTTTTTGTTTTGTTAATATCATTGTCTTTATTTTTATTCTACAACATTGACCATATGAAGACACACAGCTGTGAAAATGACAGTGTACATTTTAAGACATGATTTCTCTCATATAAATAAATGGTTTTACTGCTTTACTTGCACTGTGAGTTTTAAAACAAGATGTAAGTCATTTTTGTTTCATTCTAAAGCTCATAACATTCATTTGAAGTCCATGTTTTTATGCATATTGGAAACAAGTTTTAAAAAATATATATATATATTATTTCCACCAGCGTTTAGGATTCTGAAAGTATTTTTTTATGTTTGGACATAATTTTAAATTCCAAGATCAGGCAATCTACATCGAGTTGAATTTGAAAGTCTTCTAACTTCCATCAATGAACAGTTCTTTTTTATGTTATATTATCTAATAGTTGATGTTTTATACATCAAATACACTTGGGAAACTAAGATCTCAGCTTAATGTATTACATGAACTATTTTTTACAAACTGGATGACTGTTGCTGACATTAAAATAGAATAATACAATTTATATGATAGAAAGAACCTGAGATCTAGATAGATAGATAGATAGATAGATAGATAGATAGATAGATAGATAGATAGATAGATAGATAGATAGATAGATAGATAGATTCTAATTATTGATGTAATACGGCTCAGTTTAATCATAAGTACTACTTCAAATGGAAAAGGTTGATTTACACTCCTTACATCAACAGTTTTGAATGATACAGATGATTTTTTTTTTTTTTTGATAAAGGTAATATTTTATGTCACCTAACTGGTTTAAAATCTGTTGAACCCACAACTGCCCGAGATTTGCCTACAAATGTTCTTTTGGTTAGATAGCAACACTTGAATGTTATTTTCGTTAGCTGCTCATCATTGATGTTGCTTGTTTTGCTGTGCTTTACAAATTTATTTTACAAAGCATCAAAACATGTAGCCTATAGCCTGACAATTTGAAGTAAAGCCATGATTTAAAGCCCTCATTTAACCATAAAGAAAAACCTTTTTAAATGAGCAGTGCTCATAGAGCGAACCATTATCTTTTTGGTTTAATCTGGTTTAATTGTGTTTTGTTCTTTTGTATGACAAATAGCAGCAGCTTTAACCTGCAGCTATTTGGAATCCACAGTAAATGATAAATCTAAATTAAACTTGCTGTATGTACAGTGCCTAAACACACACAGAGTACAACAAACTGCAGACATTATCTTCCCTGCATAGACTCGTGTGAAGGAAAACAGCTCTAACTTTGTAAAAGTGCTTAAAGTATCTAGCTTAAAGATTGTATCAATAAGTAATGACAAAACTAACAGTACCCCATGAAACTTAACACATTTCTTTGTTTTTAATGGCAAAGTTATTCTTCTTTAAATTTAAATATATTTGTGTTTACAAGTATGCTGATTGTGTCTTTAATTCACGACCAAATTAAATTGAATTGTCAAATCGGTGTTACTAAATAAAAATATAGAACATATTGTGGTGGTTGCCTACAGAAAAATGATTTGTGGCCAAAAAATATGAACAGAAATAAACCTAAAAGAAGTATAAATATTAGAATTACAGTGAAGATGTAAAGGTGAAATAATAAAGTAAATTGTTTATTTATATAGTTTATTATATCTATGCATCTAGAAGCATTGCATTTTCTTCCAAATATTTATAATATATAATATATTTTTCCTTAAAAAGCAGCTTAATTACTGTATAAAAGGGTACATGTCAGAGAAATTAATGGTTTCTTAGATACAGCATGGTTCAAGCATACAAAATGTAATCTTCGATTTGAAAATAATTTAGTTAAGTCCACCAAGTACGTCAGCCCCATACTGTAAAGCATCTTAGGATTATCTCAGTTTAAAATGTAATGACTGGTGTTTGTTCTTCTGTCTTTGTCTATGAACAGGTGGGCGCCAGAGCCTGCTGATGTTTCTAAATGTCAGAGCTGTCTCCTTTACCCACTTGCTTCTTTAATCTATGTCGTGCACAGTCACACACACACGCACTTGCACATATTCACCCAGAGAGCAACACACAAAATCAAAGCTCCCTGAAGGCGGTAGCAAAACCGAGAGGTGTAAAAGCTTGAGCAGACCCTAAACTGTATCGTTTCATCTTCAGATTCCACTATTTACCTGCCTGTCAGTTGATTGTTTACTCCCATCTCAATCTTATCTCTGTTTGAGTCACACTTTCGACAAAGGAGTGATGCACCTGCTATTGCTTTGTGGTCTTTTTATTGTAAAAAATATTTTTCATTTAACATCAGTTTTTTCAAGGAAGTACATGTGATCTTACCATAGTTGG